CATGTATGGTAGCCTTAGATTATAGTTGTGATTTTAATGGCTCTCTTCTACTTGAGAGGAATGGTGGATTATGTGATGGATTCCTCTTGCTTAATTACTTACTAGAGTTATGGTTATGGAGTAATTAGATTTGCTCTTGTACTGTTGTTCTGCAGTCACGAGGAGCCTCCCGCTATATCCACTATAACTTGTGGGTGTAAGATGTACACAGGGGATTGATGCCTTATCAAAGACAATGGATCTGGATTTGATATTAATCCCATCTCTTCTTATCCATTGATTTATCCGTCTAGTTGATGACTATTTAGACTGCTTCCAATCATGGCTAATTCAAGGCAACATTATTTTATCTACACGTTGTTCATGTATTATAATCAGACTTTCCTTCCCTTCCTCCATCCTTGCCCCACCCCTCCCCCCGCCCCCTCTTCTTAGAAGCAGTTAAGATTGGGTCTTTTTGTGTAAAGATTTCCTAGTTATTTATGTAGTCAGTATCTGTTGTTATCCTTCTTGGTAGCGGAATAATCTTTATCTCTTCATCTTCTTAGCATCTTACTTCCCGACATCTATACTTGCTCAATAATAAGCTATAGCTAGAACAGAAGGATGAGATGAAAGACTATACTTGGAGATTTATGGGGGTAAAAAGAAAACATGTCACAGCAGCAATGTTTTATTATGTCTTTATTTTCTGGTCAACGAAGAATGTAAAGTGGTACCACTTATTCGATCTTAATTTGCATGTGAAACCGTGTGTTTTTAGTGTTTGCCTCCTTGTTTTGTTACAGCTGTCTAGTTTTACCCTAAAAAATGCAAAGTATCCTTGTTGATTTCAAAAAATGGAAAAAGAACGCTCTTTTTTAACGTTGGACCTCTTAATTGAGGATCAGTATATATATATATATATATATATATATATATATATATATATATATATAATATAGACTCGGCAATGATGCAGTTTATGTCTACTTCTTAGAATCCTCATTGGACAGCTTGTTCAATAAAGTAACGTGAGCTCAAATACAATAAAACCTCTATAAATTAATACTCGATAAATTAATAATATTTATTCAATAATAATTTTTCTCAGTCCCAACTTGGGTTAATGACCTATATTAATAATTTTGATAAACTAATAAGATAATAATTTTTTTAAAACTTTATATAATCTTTTGATCCCATTCATTTCATAAATTAATAAATCACTAAAATTAGATGTCATATTTTTTCTAAAACATGAGTCTATTGTTATTTTTTTTTAAATCTATTGCTGTAATTATTTTTGAATACTTGTAGGTTGCTCTTTACTATACGATTTATAATTTGATCAATCATGGTTGATTTATGAATATTTTTAGATGGAAAGTCATTGTTTAAGAATAAGAGACGTAGGAAGACTTTACGTTTGTTTATTATAAGAAGACTTTCTTATCATTTATATACATAATATTGTTAATCTGATTCATTGTATGCATTTAATAAAATGAAATAGATATTTATCATGTTATCATGTAGTATTTCTAAATCTTTTTTATCTCAGAAAAACTGTATCAATTACGTACATATATGGAAAATATTAATAGAATTAAATTATATTTGCAAATCAAATAGATATAGATTGCTTTATATTCTCCAAACTTTTAGCCTCTTTTTATTAATAGAATAATTCATATTTTATAAAATATAATAGAACTTTAGTTGATTAAATTAGTGTTTTTTTGAATTGTAAATACCTTTGATAAATTTATAAATCATTTATTTATCAATTAATTAATATCTCTTTAAATTAATAAATTTTGTATGGTCCCAATGTTATTAATTTATAGACATTTTATTGTACTCATATATACATAAATAGAAGGACGATTCCTGGTAATGTATTCAAATGACTAAGCTCTTATAATATAGAGTTATTATCACTTTACCCCCTTAAACTATATCACTATTATCAGTTTACCTCATAACATTATCTTTTAGTCACTTTATTCTCATAAGTAATTCAACTCAATATGTTAAGCAATTTTGGACAAAAATACCCTTTTATTTTATAGCATTACTACATTGTTATTATCACTTTATTCATTTGCATTATAGTACTACAATCACTTTAGTTCCTAACATTATTTTTTAGGCATTTTATCTCATCATTAATCTAACTAGTATGGTCAAAAAATTTTAAATATATTTACCCTTTTTTATATATAATTAAAAATAAAAAAGTTGGAATGGTTATTCTTTTTTTTCACTTTAAGAGATTGAAAACATAAAAATAAAAGAATTTTCTCAAATTTCTTTTTTTCACACTTATTAATACTAGAAAAAGAAAAAGAGATAGGAAAGAAAGAGACAAAAAATTAGATTTTGCAAAAAAAGAAAATAAAGAAAATTCTAATATTATCGTATTACTTTAAGGTTGTCGGGATTAGAATTGGAATTTGGTCGTAAACAGAAAAGTGAAATAATTTTAAAATAATAAAATAATTTAATTATTTCTTATTTGTAATTTTTTAAAAAAGAATTGAGCTCTCTCTCTCCCCCTCCTCTTCTCCATCTTTCTATTTTTTTTTTCAATATTAATAAGATTGTCAAGAAAAAAGAAATTAATATTTTGACTTTTTTTCTTGATACTAAAAAGGAGAAAAGTCACTCTAAATTTTTTATTATTTTTATTATGCAAAGAGGAGGGTATTTTCTTCTATTTTTTAACATGTTAAGTTGGTTTAACAGTAGAATAAATTGCCTAAAAATTAAGTCTATGGGGCAAATTGATAATGAGACTAAATTTTATGGGGATAAAGTGATAATAATTTTAAAGGTTAAACATATCTTTTCATTTCAATTAACAAACTCCGTTAAATTTGACCGTTAGTTTTGGGGGTAAAGTGATTAAAAGATAACGTTAAGGGGAAAATTGATAGTAGCACCAAACGTTAAGGGGGTAAAGTGATAATAACCCTTTTTTTATGCATATACACTTGGATGTATGTCACATAATTCAATTTTGAATTTGAAATCCAGTTTTTATATAGATGTTTACAATTACAAGCGTAGTGTGTGTAAAAAACTTTAATAACTTTTTTTTTAACCCTTTCCAACTAAAGATTTTGCTTAGCCCGGCAATAAAAGTGTGTGATTGGACAGTAAATTTATTTTTTCACTTCATTACTATCACTTAGTGGTGACCAACAAAGAAGAAGAAGAGAAATTTCACGCTTCTCATCCAAGACTCAAAAGTAATTAGAATTTTCCCCATAAATAGCCCAAAACTCAAAACTAAAGAACACTAAAGGTGTTTACCTGAAAGGACTAATTTACCCCATGGGCTTTGTTTGGATAGAGTACTATTTTAAATAATTATTGTAATACTTTTTATGATGTGATGTATGTGAAATAAAAAAGGTGGTTGAAAATATAAAAATGTGGATTGGAAAATGTGTTTATGATGCAAGAGAAAAAAATTTTTGAAAAAAATTTGCTATCCAAACATAGCTGAATCGCCAACAGCCTCCTACTAAAAATTGCCACTTAATTGTGGCTGCCACCTTTGGGTGGCTTTCTTCGACGGGGTTTTCCGTCGACTCTCCTTTCCCTTAGAATAGGCTAGAATAGATTATATAACTGTTATCATTGCGACAAAAAAAAAAAAAAACATAGTCGAATCAGAAAAGGACAATTTGCCATCCAAAAATTTTTGGAAAAATTCTGTTTTCCTTTTTTCTTTTGAACAGAAAAGGACAATTGGACTTCAGTTGCATCACTATAAAGAGAAGGGTTAATCACATTTAATCCCCTTAAACTATACCCCATTTTTCAGTTTAGCTCCTAACCTTTAATTTTGCTCGCTTAACTCTTTATAGGACAAAATTGCTCTTGTATTATTTTGACTTTTCATTTACCTTGTTTTCCTTTCTTTTATTTCTTTTTCTCTTTCTTCTTTATTTAATTCTTCCTCTTTCCCACAAAAATTTTCACCTTAATGATTGAAATTAAAAAAGAGGAATTGCAGAGATCTATCGTCTCCTTAAATGATTAAAAAAATATTCAAATCACTTTCTTAAAATACAATTTTTTAGCCTTTCAATTCTTTTAATTTTGGATTTTCCTCTTTCCTTTCTAGTTTCTTATTTTATTCCCAACAAAATATCTTAAAATGAAATTGTGACCTGATTAATAATCATCAATTGAAATTTGTAACACGTGGCATCATACAAAAAATCAAAATTAGTTTTTGATACCTTTTAAATCTTCACTTAGAAATATGCAATTACAAACTCAAAACAAAAATTTTCGTTGATATGGAATTTTGTATTGGGAAGGATAAAAGAGAGAAGAAAGAGAAAAAGAAATAAAAGAAAGGAAAAGAATTTCATCTTATGATATTTTCTTGAGAATGAAATAAGAAATTAGAAAGAAAAGAGGAAAATCCAAAATTAAAAGAATTGAAAGGCATAAAAAATTGTATTTTAGGAAAGTGATTTAAATATTTTTTTAATTATTTAAAGAGAAGATAAATCTCTGCAATTCCTATTTTTTAATTTCAATCATTAAGGTGAAAATTTTTGTGGGAAAGAGGAAGAATTAAATAAAGAAGAAATAGAAAAAGAAATAAAAGAAAGAAAAACAAGGTAAATAAAAAGTCAAAATAACACAAGGACAATTTTGTTCTATAGGGGATTAAGTGAGCAAAATTAAAGATTAGGGGGTAAACTGAGAAATGAAATATACTTTAAGGGGATTAAATGTGATTAACCCTAAAGAGAAAAGGGCCCCAAATTCATCCTATCTTTCCTTGAATCACTATAACTTTTTTTTTCTGGCATCCGCACAGCCACCCAAAAAAGGCTCCGAGTACTCTTTGCCTTTTAAATTGACTAAGATCAGCGAAAGCTTTAAGGTCAAGTGGTGCAGACTTGACGCGCTCCACGTTTTTCCCAGGACTCAATTTCAATGCAAAGTGCAAACTGCTCTATATAAGCAGCCTAGAGCCTGTGGAATGCAAACAAATTAACAAAGCCATAGTATAAAGTGGGGAAAAAAAAAAGAGAAAAAAGAAAGAAAGAAAGAAAGAAAAGGAGGAGAGTGATTTAGCTAGAATTTTTAGGGTACAAGCATGGATTCCAGCTCTCTTTCTAAAGTATTGATATCGGCGGCAGTAATTGGTTTTGCGGGACTTTTCCTTCGGCTCTACAATTCATTAGTGGCAAAACCAGGAAGGCTTCGAGCAGCCCTGAGAAAGCAGGGAGTGAGCGGGCCTAAACCAACTTTGCTTCTTGGTAACATCTTGGAGATCAAGAAGGCTAGAGATGCTGCAGCCAAGAATACCACTGATGGCGCACCTGATTCTCATAATTGTGGATCCTTTGTCCTTCCATTTTTCGATAAATGGCGGAGCCAATTTGGTACGGCTCTAAATCTTTTGATAACCCGAATTTGTGTCCCTGCAAAATTTGCTTGCACCTGATTCTCATAATTGTGGATCCTCTCTTTCGCATGTGGTTTTGTGCAGGCGAAATTTTCATGTTTGCTCTGGGTAACACCCAAATTTTGTACGTAACACAACCTGATATGGTGAGGGAGATAACTACCTGCACATCCTTGGACTTTGGAAAGCCAACATATCAAGCGAGAGAGAGGGGTTCTTTGCTTGGCCAGGGTATCCTAACTTCTAATGGGGCTGTTTGGGCTCACCAGAGGAAGATTCTTGCTCCCGAATTGTACATGGAGAAGGTCAAGGTACGTATAATGCTAGTGAACCGCCGATTTGTTTGATATCTAGTTATATAGTATGTTTGATTTACAGTTTTTCTTACGAGCAATTTCTGACATATTATTTGTCATGACTATATGCATGATTTACAGGGAATGGTTGGTCTAGTTCAGGAGTCCACTGTCACAATGGTAAACTCGTGGAAGAGTATAATCGAGGCTGGGGGTGGAATTGCAGAAATCAAAATCGACCAACACATGAGAAGCTTTTCCGGCGATGTCATCTCAAGAGCATGCTTCGGAAGTAACTATTCCAAAGGAGAAGAAATTTTCAAGAGACTCAGAGCTCTTCAAGAAGCTGCATCCAAGAGAGTTCTCGCCACTGGAATCCCGGGCGCGAGGTACGTAGCAAAATTCTTGAGAAATGTACCCAAAACGACCTCAGAAATTGAGCAAATTATATTCATCTTTTCACAAAAAATTGTTGCAGGCATCTTCCTACTAAGAGCAATAGGGAAGCGTGGGCGTTAGAGAAGGAGATCAAAACACTCATCTTACAAGTGGTGAAGGAGAGGACAGAAGCTGGATACGAGAAGGATCTCCTGCAGATGGTTCTTGAAGGAGCTAAGAACAGTGACTTGAGCCGGGATGATATTGACCGCTTCATCGTTGATAACTGCAAAAACATCTATTTGGCCGGCTACGAGACTACTGCTGTCTCAGCCACATGGTGCCTCATGCTCTTGGCTGCAAATCCCGATTGGCAAGAACGCATCCGCGCCGAAGCCGTCGAAATTTGCAGAGGACAAATTCCAGATGCTGATATGATCCGTAAGATGAAACAGGTAAACTAACTCATTAAGACTTGCCAAAATCTGAGCTTAGCTGCAGCAGAGGGTTCACATCGTAAATAACTCCAGCTGTTTCAATTTGGACTTTGCAGTTGACGATGGCAATCAATGAGTCACTGCGCCTTTATCCTCCGGTGTCCGTCGTCTCAAGGGAGGCCTTGAAAGACATGAAATTTGGGGACATAAAGATTCCTCAGGGTGTGAACGTCTGGACCCTGGTGACAACATTGCATACTGATCCTGAAATATGGGGTCCCGACTCCTACAAGTTCAATCCGGATAGGTTTGCAAATGGGATAACGGGCGCATGCAAGCTACCGCACTTGTACGTGCCATTCGGGGTTGGTCCGAGGGTGTGCCTGGGACAGAATTTGGCCCTGGTGGAACTCAAAATCTTGATTTCCATGATTTTAGCCAACTTCTCCTTCTCCATTTCTCCCAAATACAAGCACTCACCGGCTCTGCATTTAGTCATCGAGCCCGGAAACGGTGTCGATCTATTGGTGAAGAAGTTGTAAGGACCACAAAGTGATCGAGATCCTCTTTGATCTAATGGATTCGTAAGTGATTACGAGAGATCAATCTTCCAGGACAAAAATTGCATAGGAAGCTACACCGCCAAAAATTTGTGAGGATTAATTAATATGGGTTCCTTTGCATTGCACTGTACTTGGTTAATAGTAATTCTTTTTTATCAAAAAATTTTTTTTTTAAGGCAAGGAGAGTTGTGTTTAGAACTTAAATCTCCTTGGTCACATATGAAGCAAGAATCAGTACATGCATGTACCATAGCTTTTTCTCTGCACCAAAACTGTACGCTATTGATTATGTTTCATGCCACGCGACGAGACATTATTATATTTATGACCCCAAAATAAACACCTAGCAACAATTACTATTATAAGCTTCGTTCCAACTCCAAAATGATGGGACAAACTAAACAATTAGTGAATATTGCTCAATTGTAAGTTGACGAACCAAAACTGACGAAGGAGGAGGGAACATTATTACTAAATTAAGCTCAAGAGTCCACCTAATTAATACTCCCTCCGTCCCGTTTTGTTAGTCTTGTTTTCCTTTTTTGTCTGTCCCAAATTGTAGTCCACTTTCCCATTAAGGAATGTAGTAATCTTTCAAATTGTCTAAAATACCCTTCTTAAATATCTTGTTATTAATACATTGTTATTAAATACTAACCCACTACATTGAATACATTGAGCTTTTCCAATACATAGATAAATGAAAAGTCTATCTTTGTTATTTATTGGCACTATTGGCGGTAATTGAAACAATCAGGGTGCACTATTGGCGGTAACTGATATTTATTGGCACCATTAGCTGTAACTGATATTAATTGGCACTCTTCGTGATTAGCATAAGGGTATTTTAGGAAATTATTAATCTAAATTTATGTTTCCAACCAAATTAATTACACTTTCTTAATCTGTGTGAAAAAAAAATCAAGACTAACAAAATGAGACGGAGGGAGTACCACTGTTTGTGTGAACTGTCGACCGCCGACATTGAAACAAGAGAGTGGGAATGGGATTCGCCAGACATTTCCGTTTGTCCAAACTCTGGTAAACATTAACAAACATTCTGGGCACTATGCTCCATGATTGAAGGACCAATTAGTTTCAGACGACTCAAACTGTTGACATGGACTTTCACAGGCAGGAGTGACACGTTACATAAGATCGCTGTACGAGGATGATCATCGCCCCCAGTATGCCGCCCAAATACTTTCAAGGGATAATTTCAGAAACGTCCCCTGAGGTTTCTAATAATTTCACTTGGTTCCCCTAAGGTTTCAAAAATTACATCTACCTCACTTGTCCATTTAAAATGACAAAACTAACTTTAATATTTTTAATAAAACTCTCTTGTTGCCATGTTTATGCAAAGGATTGATTTTTTTTTTTTTTATATCATTTTCCTTCTTATTCATTCTCTTATATTTCATTAGAAGTATAGAAGAACTATCAATGTTGTCCCTAATATCTATTCAAATTACGTTAAACTAGTAATATTTTTTTTGATAACTTTTAATATTTTCCAATTTTTCTGTAGCTCTTCTTTTTTGGTATCAAAATCAAGGATAAGTCAACAATGATTAAAAATAAATGGCCCAAAATCACTACCAAATTATGATAGTTCCGCCACTAAACTAGTCCATAAATTTTCATTTTTAAAAATAGTCCATAAACTTTAAAGGAAACAAGATAGCACTCTCTATCTTAAAAAAAAAAAATTATTTTCGCAATAAAACACTATGAAAAATACCCTATTATAGCAAAAGATTTATTGTTAAATAACAAATATTAGCATGAAAACTTGACACTCTTCTTGTTTAGAAGAACAAATTGAACTTTGTAAGATAAGGGTATTTTAGGGTGTTTATTAAGCTTTTTACTCTATTTTAAAGCTTGGTTACCAAAGTGTCAAATCAAGGGAGGTAAATGTAATTTTTAAAATATTAAGGAAACTAAGTGAAATAGTAAAAAACCTTAAGGGAGGTTTCTGAAATTATCCCTACTTTCAATACTCTATGGTCTCGCAATTTTTCTTGTATTATTATTAATGCACAGTGACAAGTGTTACATTATCCTGACATAGGTAGCTTAGACGTTTTTCTGGTGCGGCCGGGATTGGTATTCGTTCATACATTGACTTCCTCACACACTATCACACCGTGCCACAAGGAAAATTTTAAAATACTTGTACTCTACATTTTCTTCTTGTAATATTAGTTTCGTTGTATTTCTCTTTAATTAGGGTGAACACAATTTGTTGTACGGTCTTCACTCTCTTTTCAACTTCGTTCCAGCTACCAAATTATTCAAATATCATTTAGGACGGAAATTTAATATAGCTTGAGTTTAAGTGGATTGCCTTAATATCTTATTAGGGATTAAAGTGACAGAACTTCTTATACATGATGGTCAACTTAGATGGTGCTGTTTTCAAGTGTTTATAAAGATTTTTTTAATAGGCATCTAGTGAACAATCTTTTTTTACACTTTAATTACTACATGAATACGGGCAAAGAAAATTATTTCACCTTTTGTATTTATATATTATACTTTTCCAACAAGCTGATATTTGAGTCTTTCATTAACGAATGTTCATTGAATACTCGTTAGTCAAACCGTATTTGTAAAAGATTCTGCAGATATCAATATGCTATTATATTTAACGTATCTTAGAGGATCAGATTCTAGAATTAGTCCGAAATTTTCAATCCATCAGCTTGTGGCTTTTTGTATAATCGTGGAGTCAGTTAATTGTATCCTTAACGTCCTTCCACCGGCGAGTTTAGACCATTTCTGGCGATGCATCGGAGTAGAATCTAGACGAGAGTGCAACCAACAAATAACCAATGAGGGGGGGAGTCAATGGGAGCCGATCAACTCCTCAATAAATGAAGTTGAACAGAGAATTTGGAATTGGTCATTTTGGGGTGTGCGACTGGAGTGGGATATTACAATTTTGTGACTTTGTCTGGTTAGTTTCATAGCTTGCCAATAGTACAACAAAACCAATACGACGGATTTTAATTTTAGGTTGTTTTCCAAAGTCTAAACATTTGAACTTTGACCCAGCTCCTCCATAATTCTTTCCACAAGAAAAAAAAAGATCCAGCTGTCAGTTGCAGAACGCCAGACCGCACCTGTTGACCAAATAACCACAATTGTCACAAAAAAGAAACCAAAAAAAAAAAAAAAGTTAGGTGCTGCGGTCTTATTGATTGTTGTATGCTTTACTGTAGTTGATTGCAAATTGATCACAAGGCTATGCAACTTACCGAATTAAGGCAGTCACCTTTAAACTGGCCGTTTTGATTATAACAATAAAAAAGAAAAAGAAAAAAGAAAACCAACTACAATACTGACTTTTGACTTAGTAAAGTGATGCTAAACCAACTACAATACTGACATTTGACTTCATAAAGTGGTGTTAAACGTTAATCAAAAGCCATCATGATTGAAGAATACGAAGGTCAAATACTTTTTTTTTTGGTTCCTTTTAAAGTATTAGTAATATTCAGCCCGCATTGGTATATTCTTGAGGGAAAAGTACGAAAAAAAATGGGATTGATCATGAGGACAAATTTTATATTTCGAAAGTTCATACCATGGGCCTTTGGTGGCACAACAATATAATCGATCCTATTTATCCTGAATGTTGTGTTTCAAGGGAAAACCTTCCTCAAAAAGTCAAGAAAATAAGTCACCAAGTCTAATTAAGTTGCACCTACGATTAAAGACTCTTTTTTTTTTTTTTTTTTGGATATGACTCATAGGTATTCGCATCCGTTTTACGGTCTGTGACTAATCCTGTTCGAATCAGATCAGACCCCTTGCAGGGAGAACTCTCCCAACGTTGTCTCTTCCATTCAGACCTCATGGTCACGGGATGCTGCTCCTTCCACTTGCACCGATGTCCGTTGGTATGATTAGAGACTGTGGTCACTTATGTTAAATTCTTAGAGAGTAGAGACAAGATGATTGGCAATATATATATGAATGATTCTTGTGGCAGCCAGTTAAAGAGCATTATGTTCCTTCATATTAAATCTTTTCTGCAGCAGCCCTTGATTCTAATCTTCTCAATGGCAAATCATCTTATTTGAAGCTAACAGAAACGTTGGCTAGCTAATGGATATTTCTCAGTACTACTTTGACTTATTTCGGCAGAGATCATGCAGCTCGGCCGCTGTTCCTTGACTGATTCTAATGTCTTAAAAACACTAATTAAGAGCTGCATCTTGGGGATAAAAGTCAACAAGTACGTTCCAATCCATTGCTGACTCTCTGAAGTTGGAACCATTTTTAGCTGATGGAGAGTCTTGGAAATAGAAATATCACCAACTCAAAAGAGCTAAGCTAACAAGGTAGTACCATTTCAGAGAACCAATTACTACTAATTGTTTGCTACGTATGAATTTATAATAATACAAATGCACAGCACCAACTTTTTATTAACTACGTAAGATCTTTAATGAGCTGTACGACTTTTATGACGAGGAGATTTTTAAGTCACTAAGAAGTGAAACGTCAAAAATTGTGGCTCTAGAAGAACAAAAACCTGATAATTTTTCCCAAGAATTGTGCGTTGATGTTATTCTTCCTCCACGGATGTTGGCACCTACTTAATTGTTGGTCTTCAAAACTATATACTACTTGCTAACAGAATTCTTGTCTTTTCTGTACTTGCAAACTATATCTATATAGTAGTGGTAGGTTTCCTGGAGATTGAAAGTAATTTGAAGCTCTTGTTCTTCTCATGTTCATGATTGCACCCTTCCTCGTCCGACCACCTTATATCAATTGTTGTTGATGTGCTGATTTGAATCGAGAAAAAGGGTAAACCGAAAGAAGTCACCCCACTTGGGGGAATAATCATAATATTGACCTTTTTATGTTTTCTACGCTGGCAAACTCGCACTAGACGTTAAAAAGCTATTTGAAAGTAAACCGAAACTCAAATTCTTCTCGTGTTCATGATTGCATCCCACCTCTTTTGATCTAGATTCTTGTAATGGTGGAATTTGAAGGTTTTATATATATTTAAATCGCCATCCCCTAACTAAAGGATTAGGTATAAATGAACTTGCTTTTAACGTAAAAAAAAAAAAAATCTCTTATTTTTCCCCGACTAACTTATAGTTCTTCAAGATCAAACCGTTGTTTCTCTAATACAATCAAGAAATTAAAGTCCCTCGAGCAACCCACACACATGTGATACTTTTGTCCATTATCTTAGAGTTCACATTTATCAATTTTGCGAGCAAACTAGGTGAATCTACAAAGGAAGAAACGCGATAAGAAATCATTCATCGCACTTTGGCGTTCTTTTAGACAGAGTAGATTTATGGT